AAAGCGGCTGCGGGGGGGGCGGCAGGTGAATTAGCGGCAGCGAGACTGTCGTGATACTCAGACGCCATTGAATCCATCCACGCTGTCTGAGCAGAAATCATAGGGAGAGCCTTGGAGGATCCGAGGTGAGAGTGGTCACAAATCTGGGGTGCATCTCAGCAGGGTGGGAGGAATCAGTCCCATTTTCAAACACTGCCATCATGCAGCGACCATGCTAATTAGTTTAGCGCAGGGTAGTAAAGTCTGTTGTCTTGCTTTGGGCCAGATGAGCCGAACACCCGCTGGCGGGTGGGGAGTCCCTGACAGCTCTCCTCTGCCCTTACCCCTTGGCTCCCGGTACTGGACTGACATGGGAGCCTTGATCGTGGCCCTGTGCCCCGGCTTGCCAGCCCTCGTGCTGGTCCACGGGGTGGACACGGGTGAGTGCCACTCACCACGCTCACCGCTGTGGCCCCTGCCGGAGCTGTGCCGCCTGCTGTCCTCAGTTTAACTTTTCGGTAACAAAGGCAATTCCTGCTCCCCCAGCACTTTGAGGAGCAGCTTGAAAGCAGAAGCCAGAGGTAAATAATGAGCGCCCTGTGGTGCTGGGCACGAGGTAGAGCTGTCCTTGCTCCCCGGGGCACGGTGAGTGGCTGCGGGTTGAGGCTGGATGGGGTGGGGGGCTCCAGCGTTTCTGGGCAGAGTTTTGCAGCCGCTGCCCTTCCCTCCGTGTCCCGCAGCGCCTCCTCCCACTCGGCAGCTCCTCCGTCCCGTCCCAGTGGAAGATCAGTGGAGATTTTGCTGTTGACTGCAGTAGCAGCAAGATGAGAGCCAGGATTTACAGTCCTGAGAGTCTCCAGCTCCCCCCCACCCTGCCTTGGCTCCATTCTCACTCACTTGCAGGGAAATGACATTTTGAGTTCTTTTACTGGGGAGACTTTTTGCTCCACCTTTTGTTTGAGAGGGAAGGAGCCAGGGATGGCTGCTGGGTTTGTAGCCGCCCCAGCGGAGCGGGGCTCCACATGCTCCCCAGCGCTGGCCAGTGGGAGGGGGGGCCCATCGCGGTGCTGGGGCCGCTGGTGGGACCAGACCTCTGTGGGCAGAGCAGCCGCAGGTCTCATCTTTGGCCGGCTGGGAAACCTCAGCTGTGGCTTCCAGCGCTGTGCCGAGGAGACCCCTGACTGCACTGGGGGAGAGGGAGGAGGGCAGGGAGCCCCCTTGTCCCCTTTCCCTGTGGCACCCGACCTGTGTGCCGAGGGGAGGGTGCTGCTGCAGAGAATGGGGCTCTGGCTGGAGGGCGCCCTCCCGGCGTGCCTGCACCCCGGTGGCTCCGGCAGCCATCCGGGTGCTGCCCTGGCAGGCAAGGGCAGAGCTCCTCCGGCGGCTCATCCCCAGCAAAGCTTGGCCTGGGTTCGGCTCCGAGGGGAGATCTGGCAGGCGGGAAGGAGGCCCTGCTGCAGCTCTTTGCGCCCGTGTTAACCCGCTGCACGTCCCCATTGCGTGACCCCCGAGCGAGGAGCCCTCCCGGGTGCGGCGGGGCCATCAGCCCTTTGTCCGCACCGAGCCCAAGGCGGTGGTGGCGGGGGGGACCCGCTGGGGGTTGCCGCATCCCGCTGGCGCGCGTGGGGCCCCGCCGG